TTTGTGAGCAATGAAAGACAAGAAAAAAGAAATGAAATGACAAAAAAAAATTTTTGTAGCTCAAAATTTCGGCCTGAAATTTGCAGTATCGAAAACTTTTTTTCTGGAGTTCAAGTTTCTTCCGTTTTGATTGGATAATTTAGTGTAGCTTTTGCAATCAGACAAGCACAATTATTCAGCGCTTTTTCAAAAAAAAAATCTTAACACCACGTAGTTGATTGCCTTTAACCCCTTAAGCACGCTTTTCAACCTCACCGAAAATACTATTTGAAACTAAACTGTGCTTTTGATAGGTAAATCTTTGTTTTTGTAGGTCTCTGGAATCCAGACACAAGTTTTTAAACATGTTAAATTTATGTCTGAACGATCAAAGAAAACGAATGAACCGAAGAAAAATAATAGCGTCATTGTTGCGGAATCGGCTCATGATTCACAAAATGCACATTTTGTCATAGTTATCTAATCTGTTACTATCATTTCCCAATGTTAAATAAGCTTGATAAATAAATTAGGGAAGTTGATTAGGTTGCTCTGTCTTTAAATTTTACAAACACATCTTCTTTTGAAGTGAATTTAGCTTCAAACTTAAAAATAACGACACCGATATTCTAATGAAATCGGTATTAGTAATGAAAATGCGCTAAAATGAACTTAAACTTTTGTCTCGAAACCTTTTTTTACCTGCCTTATAACTGAGACAACCAGCCCTTTCGATCATCATTTTTCAATCAATTATAATCTGAAAATTTTTAGTATTATGATGCCTACCAAATTAATCATACGTATGTGCTTTCGTTCATAACACTAGCTGAAATTTCGAAAAAGATTTTAGATTGATCGAGAATCAAAAGTTTCCACACAAACATACAGCTTCTTGCCTTTTAGAAAAAATAATATAATTAGGAGGCAATATATTGCACTCGTTAAATTTTTTAGAAAAAACAAAAACTTGAATTATTATAAAAACCGACGAAAATATTTTTTTTTTCATTGACTATTATTTAAAAGATGAACACTTGAAAAACCAGGCCCATTGATTACATTTTTTAATGGACCAGGGCTCGAAGTAGAAAGCGTTGAATACCAATCGTCAAGAATCCACAAAAGTAGCTGAGCCTCGAACATGCCTCGACACCAAACAGATATGATTTTAGGCCCTTAAAACTAGCTTCGATTTTTCAAAGACCTAAGTTCATAGACGTAGAGTTGAACTTTTTGGCAAGCACTTTGTCCTGTCCTGTTACCTTAAATTTTCAATTATTTTTGAGCCATTGATTGTGTTTGCTGTTTTGTTAGTTGACAACTTTTATTTTAACACTCTTTCTGCTGGAAAAGGGACCACAGAAGTAAACGTAGATATGGGAAACCAAGTTGTGAAAAATCATCGACAACTCTTTTTGAGCGTTTTCTAAGAGAGCCATTTTTCTGCGTTTATGATTCAATAAAAACTTGTGCGATGAAAACGATTGAAAACTTCTTTTAGGTCTCCGTTTTAATTTGAATTTTTTCTAATGCTTGTTCGTTAAGTTCAGTAGAAACGTGATTATAATTGCAGTATGCAGTATGTACTATGGAAATACATAAAAAACACGCATAAAATTTTTCGATAACTTTGTTTTTATCGAAATAGAACGCTTATCTATGTAAGCACATTTGAAGATTTGGCGAGCTTTAAAGTTGAAAAAATATGAAAAGCACTTAAAATTCAACTTCTGTATTATTCTGCTTTTCAAAAACTCTGTTCATTTTTGTTATGGCTTCATAGCAATACTTTGTGAGAGTTATATGATTTAAAATTTATCAATGATGCAAGAAAAAACAGAGCAGAGAAGTTGGTTTTATCGTGAAGGTACGTAAACAAAGCAATCATTAAAAATCAGTTACTGCAGAAACACACGTGTCTTTGCTTTTTTGGTCCGCGCGTGCTTTAATTATGTCTTTTCTCTGCTTTTAACTTTCATCTTCTGAAACCATTTGTGAATTTACAAAGTATTTAGTTTTTTCTCAAGAAAACCGCAAAATTCAACAGCTGACTGGGCTTTGACCTCTTTTGACAGCCAACTTTGTGATATTTTCATCTATTCGGTGTTCGCAGGTAAACCCTTTTTGATCTATTAGTATCAAGTACAAAATCTTAGCATTTTATCAAATAGCTTTGAGAATCCTCAGAACTAATTGCTCATAAAAATGTCTTTGTATTCAGAAATACTGACAGTGTATTTTTCTACGCATCACATTTGCTTTCACTTTTTTTCTGTAACCATTTTCAGCATAAATCCTTTTTCAATTACTGTTTGAATTTATTTTTTTTGCAATAATTTGACATTCACTTTGTTCCTTATCTTAGCAATTTGAAGTTGGCTCATTTTTTACGCTTCATACTTTCAAAGAATGCAAGGGAATACTTGAGCTCGGATTGGTTTTTTTTTCTCGAGTTTCCAAGTTTTCTTTTTGTTGTTGTTTTCCGTGTAATTATATGGGTAAACGCTTAAGTTTAGGGTGGAGGTAGGAAGAACAAATCTGTTTACAATAGTCAAGTTAATCACCATGACAAGTTTCACTGCTTTTTGCCAAGGTTAAAGTAGTTTTTCAAAAATCAAACACAAAAGTGAGTAAAGTGTAGAAGAGCCGCTGATTTTGATGGAAGCCTTTATATCTCATTCAAAAGTTATTGTTGTTCTCAGCTCAAAATGTTTTGAAGAGGTTCTCTTCTTTTATCACCCTACACGCTATGTTAAATGTGTTAACTTGTAGAAACACAAGTATTAATTGAATGTCAAATGTTTTGCCTCAAAACAGTTAGCAACGATTTCAATCTAAGCGAAACTAGACTGTTTCTAGACAAAAAAACACACGATGAGGTTTGAACCACCAATCTCCTAACAGCTGGACTAAAGTCTTAGCCACTAGCAACAAAAATCTTGAAGACACATGGCCTGCTACTCGCTTTCAACTGTAGCAGCTTAGGGCAAAGTAACAACTGCTATAACGAATGGTAATCTGCATGGTTTCGTTACAACGTTGTTTTGTATCTAGTTCTGAGATTTTGTTGGATACGGGAAGGCAATATATGGCGCGATAATTATCGCAAATTAGTCAAACGAGCAGTTTTCAAACCCATTTCATCACAAAAAATGACTGCACTTGAAAAAATTTGGCGAACTTTGAGCATTGGCAAAGAATATGTTTCAGATGGTGCGCCTAATTAAAAACTTATAACCAATAACGCCTGTTTGTACCATCTAAAAAGTCAAAAACTGACCGTATCCAGAAGCACTTCATGCAACAATTTTTTGCACTTTCTTCGAAAGTCGGAGCAATGCTGTCGGACATATATAGTAAAAAACTGAAATCATGAACTGATTCTTATACGATAATCTGAGCCTCAGCGAAAAAAAAATTCAGTTAAAGAAAAATATTCAAGAGATAATCTATTAGGTAACCATTTTGTTATTTTTGATGATTCATTTTTTTCAGCACTGTAATTTCACAAACGGAATCATATCGCTGATTCAGTGTTGGGTTACCAATTTTTTTTTTTCAAAAACCAAATCACATTTTTCTATCTGTTTTCGAAGTTAATCAATTTAGCCCGATTATTCTGTTTGAACTGTTATAAAAAAATTGTGCGTGTTTTAGCGACACTTACAAGTGTGTGCGCGTGCGCGCTATTTACCTCAAAAATGACCGACAGACAACCATTGATGTTTTGTCTTGTTGCTGACTTCTCAAACACAATGAAAGATGTATACAAGTCAATGGAAGATGAAGAAAAAGAAAACGAAAGGCATATGAGAAATAAAAACAAACATTATCTCAAGAAAATTGCAGAAATCCTCAAGAACATCGTTGAAAACGATCTCTCTGAGAGTGACAAAGTTCTAGCTGTTGGTTTTGGCGCAAAGGATAAATCAGTTGGTCATTTTGACATAATTCGGTCTCTTCAAGCTGCTACCCACTTTCCTTCATTTTTCAATAAAAAACAGCTCGAACATTCTGGTACTTTCCTTCATCGAATGGAACTGAGACAACGTGAGTCTAAAGAAAAGAAGCAAAAGGAAGACTTAAAATACTTCGAAGATTTGGTGGCACGAATTCGGTCGTTTATCTGTACAAACAGTTTTACCTCAGAAGGTTTCACAAAAATTTGCCTTTCTGATTTGCCAAAAGAGTTCGAACAAAACGTAGATGACAAACTGAAACTAATCGAACAGAAGAAACGAAATATGCTGCTTAACCTTCTGAACGACCGCCTTGATTCCATATCATCATCACTCATTCGGAGTTTTGATGAATATGTACACAGCAAGAGATATTTGTTTGATCCTTACTTTGAACCAAAGCAATTACAATTCTTACAATTCTCTTACAATCCTTACAATTCGCACAATTCGGAATGTCGTGAAAAATTATTTCTGGGACCAAGGCGCAATTCGTCATATCACCGAAATTTATTCACTGAAACAACTGCCGAAGAGAGTAAGGAACAAACCATAGATAGACTGGAGATGTTGAACAGTAATTTTTATCCTCAAAGCGATGCTCACCTGCATTTGATAAAGGTTTGCAACTTAAACCTGCCCCTCATCCACGATCCGTTAGAGCAAAATAACTTCATGGAGAAGATTGATGACATGTTTTGGCGCTATTCAGTGGAGAATTTTTCAGATACAACCAAACAGAATTTATTTAATGACCGGTTAAATCGGTTTGTGTATTCAGAGGAAAGCTTCTTAAACAGGAACAAACAAAGTTGGGTCAAATATGAATTGCACAAATTTCTTGAAAGGGAAACGAAAGAAATGCAAGATTTTTATTATAGAGTTAGATGCAAGGCAAATCAATGGCGCTTTGTTTGGCTCGAAAATGCTGAGGCCGGTTTTGGAATTTTATGCGAATTTGAAAATGAGCAAATCTCTGAAATTTCAAACGAAACCTTCGATTTTCACAAAAAGCTTTCTGATAGAAGTTCTTGCGATTTCTTGGAAAAAAATGACAAAATGAGGGCGACCGTAACAAGCAAATTGCAGGATAAATTTGATCAATTCTTCAAAGCCAAAAGGCAAGATTTTTCAAATGCGCTTAGTTCTACTCCTGAGATTCCTTCCGAAGAGCTTTGGATTGTTGAGTTTACTACTCAAACTCTCAACCAATTGACCAAACATTTGCATGCACACAGTCAGAGTTTGCAACAATGTGTTGCACACGTGTTTGAAAAACATGAGGCTGAAATACTCGCAAATCTGAAAACAACTTCTTCTGAGATGGAAATCGTTCTCGATAAGAGCAACCAAGAAGAGAAGTGGTGGAAAAATTGGATCGAAAGCCGAGAGTCGTTTCAAAAGACACAAATTAAGTCAAATATAACAGATGCAGCAGAGCTCATAAGGGAAAGGATCCTCATAGTTCATAAGGAGGAAGTTTCTTCACGACTTAACTTTATTCGGAATCAACTGGTACAGTTTGATGCGTTTGTTAAAGACCACCGTCTAGCTATACTGTTGAAAGTGTACAAAATGTACATGAAAAAGAAAGGATGGTCATCTAGACTGAGAAATCATCAAACATTGCTAGTCACAAAACTAAAGCATGCGGAAGAGAAACTAAGTAGAAGTCGCCTTGAAAACACTTATAACCAGCATCGTAGTGAAAACTACGAGTCGGAAATGGAAACTCTTTCGAAGGCTGTGGAAGAGTTCAACAGCGAGACTTCGAAGGTTGCAGATGGGTTAATTAGCGAGATTTCTGAAGATCAAAAAATTTACGATGACGAACAAACCGAGAAGCTAAAACAAATGACTGAGAATGCAGACCAGATAGCAGCTCAAATTGTACAAACCATTATCATCAATGGTATGAGGAACTTTTTCGCTAAAAAAGTTACGGAGAAAATTGATGTTTTGAAGTCAGTATGTCTGAGAAAAGCAGAAAAGGCGAAAAATGACTTGATGGTTAGTATTTGTTTTTAGTTTCTACATTATTGAAACCTAAATTAAAAGTGGCTCTTTTTAATCCTCCCTCGCATAAACATCAACTTCATGGCGCAACGAGCGACTTTACAAGGTTGAGAAAGACTGGAACCTAATCCAAACTACATTTTATTATTTATAACTTAGACATTTAATCACTGTAAAGTATTTAATATTAACCAATCACAATCCATCTAACTAACTACCCACTTATTTGTAAGTGCTGAAATTACTTGTAATTTCAGCACCAGAGAGATTTGAATTTAACTTAGAAAATAGTTGACTCTTTCCGAGTACTTCAGCAGCCGTAACAATACCAGTATACTCTAGATCTATTGAGCCTAGCAGAGACTAGTTAAACACCCTGAGACTAGTAGTAATAAGAGTAAGATTAGGATCGGTATTAGACTAAGAAGTTGCACTAATCTATCCGGCCGAAAATAAGATAGCGTGACGAGCAGACGGTGTACCCTATCCGAAATTACCCTATGAGCTAGACCTCCATACCTAACTCATCTGGTGCGACCATAAGTCTCGAACAAGACCTTAAAAACAAATTAGTTTAGAAAAAAAAATAGATTAGAAAATAGACAAAAACATTTTCAAAATGTTATACGATAATAATTTAATTGAATGGTCTCTACGACTCAATAGATCAAAACCACTCTTCCGAACAATACTAGAACAACGACGTATTGGAATCAGACCTCGGACAAGAGACGACATACGACTACGAAGAAACTTACCGAATAGTTTCATGGTCGTACGGCAAAAGCCACAACAAACTTTTATATTTAGAATTATACCGGCAATGAATTTAGATTTTCATTCGCAAACAAAAAGTTCTTGAAGAAAAATCTTCAATACATTTACCAGGCGCTAAATAAATTATTAATGTTCAATAATGATTGATAAAATCATCACTAATCGTTTCTTCAACTGCAGTACTATATAAAACATATTTTAAAATAATTTATTCAAAATAAAAACAAAAATTAGTAGCATGACAATAAATCGTTAGTAAGCATTAATTATCCTGTTGTTCCAGCTTCATCACCTATACATAACAGCAATCATAAATAAACTAATTTCATCAAAACTAAAAGTCACAAATTGTTATTTCAAAATTTTTAAACTTTATACTTTCTAAATCTAAAAACTTTTAATCTTAAACCAGATCATCAAGGCTTATCCTTGGATCTAATTTAAATTTCTATCCTAAATTTTAATTCTGACCATCAAGGCTAATCCTTTGATCAAAAGAACAATTTTGTTCTCCCCCACCCACCTATCAAGTGTCTAACGACCTCAAACGTCGATTCACTCTCAAACCTTCCAAAAAGACCTAGGACTAATAGAAATTTTTCAAATACTAACCATTTAAATTAGGCTAAACAGTGAAGAACTTCGGTTATTCATCCTTCACTTGACCCCTCCTCTTATACGACCCAGGATAAACTTAGACTTAGTAAGTTTAAAATAGTACCTAACGAACTACTTGCGTTCTAATTATACCTGAACCTTGTGGATCGATTTACTATTCTCCAACCCTTGAACACAATCACTACCCCTAAGTAAGATTAAGTAAGTTAACACCTTAGCTTATATTAGCCACGAGAAAGTAAAAATCATTCTCCGGAATCGATATACTTTTCTCTCCAACCCTGAATAAAAAGACCCAGGTTAGGCTAATCAAAAAATCGTAAGGACTAAAAGTCTAGGAAATTGAAACACTTACAAACAACTTTGCACCCATCATCCTAAACCTTATGTCATTAAAAAATCTAGGAAATAAACAAACAATCGTCATACACAATTGTCAATTTGAAAATCAAAAATATGATCTTGTTATAACCCCGCATACACAAAAAATTGAATACATTCACACAAAACCACAAAACGGCAATCACTAAAAAGAACAATTCAAAGAAAACAAAGAGAGATAACACGAAAAAGATTTTCAAAACACCGAAACGCATTTTCCGACTCAGAAGTCAGTAGTCTCGACGCACTATACAAAGTAGAAGATTCAATAAATCAATCTTATCCAATTCAGATTTCTGACCACAATTTCATCGAAAAAAGGAAAAAATAGAATAAAAAAGAAACACAAGCATAAATCAGTACATCTATACAATTGGAGTCAACCAATCAGACACATTAACAATTATCTATTAACAGTCATCAAACGTAACAATGAGCAGCCACACTCAAAGTGAAGAAAGCATAGATCACGAACAAGCATTCCCTTTTGTTATAGACTCAGATACTGATAGCGGACAAATAAAATTCTGTAAAAATTTACTCATAAACCTAATTGAACCAGGAATCAGTCCATGTAAAACAGAATTTCCAGATGTAAGAATAAGAAGACAACTAATAGATCACTATATAAAAGATATCGCAAAAATAACACAACAATACGGTATCTACACTATAGGATTCTGTACACCAGAAAACAAGAAATACGTTGTTCAAACAGATGATCTTGATCTCGAATTTTCAAAAGTATTCACAGAGTATATTAAAAATATACAGTATCACAAATCACAGAGAGCAAACTCAATATTCACAAATGAAGCTTTTGCCTTAATATACACAAATTTAAATATATTAGAAACAACAGAAACCCAAAGTACATCGCCAATTCAGTCATCTAGACACACCAAGGTTAGAAACGAAATCACTACATTTTCTACATTTTATACGCAATCCGTGAAAGTTTTTCAAACAATGACGTTTCACAAAATTCCAAACACGACCTACAAAAAATATTAGCATGGTTTATAATTGATTATTTCGGAAATAATATAGATTTAATACACGAAGCAAGAAAAAATTTTAGACCTCAAAGTAACACTGACGACACAGTCATTCATGAACAATCAGATTATGTTTGGGACCCCCATTTGGTCTCATCCATTATTTATACACTTCCTAAATGCTATTTCAAGTCAAGCGATAGATACAATATCTTTTCACCGAAATTATTTAAATATTATACCATTAACAATTGACGCCACACCTTTAAATTATAATACATTTTTGCCTGATACACAAAATAATAGTTTAAATTCAACGGTTATTCATAATGAAGACCTCAATGGAACTCGAAATCTTACACAACAAGATATTCAAACACCATCACAGTTAATAAATGAAGAAATTGTTCACACGACAATAACAACTACGCAACAAAGTATTTCACCAATACATCCAAATTTCACAACACCAAAAATAATAAAGTGACATCACCACAAATAACATTACAATCAACTGTAAATCCTTCAGCCACTTTAGCCCCTAAATTTTCACATATGGATTACCAAACATATAGACTATTGACAAGACCACCAAAACCAAGAAGGACATTCACAAGAAATAATTTTGCAGAACACAATTATAATTACACACATCCACCAAGAACAAACTACTCCCCACGAAAACCTAATAATAATCATGTATATTCCAACAATTGGGATAGACCAACGACAATAAACAATTCAGTAAATTTTCAACCTACTCAGCATCCTACACAGGATTATAGTGAAAATTACCCATTTTTTCAACAAAATAAAAATCGGCAACAAAAATCTCACCATACGGATTATGTATCATCCGATGATGATCATTTACCAGATATTTTTGTACCATACTTACAAGAGTATCGAACACGAAAACCACAACATACTCAATATAAAAGAATTTTTCCTGAAAACCCGCTAGATACTCAGCATCAACAACCACAAATGCCAAATTCATGCAATACACAATTTTTTCAACCAATGCAAACACAAAATCCAATGACTATGCATTCATATCAACCAAATCAAATGCAAAATGAAATCCCATTACCATATTATCTACAACAACATGAAATCACAAAAAATCAATTGACAAATTTTTCACAAATACCAAACGCCGCAGAGTCATTACAAATGACGATGAACCCATATCTTATGGGAGGATCATCAATAACATCAAATAAACCACTCAATGGTATTTACAGGAACAGACCCTGAATACTCAGTAGAAGACTACTTAAACGCAGTCACAGCAAATCTGATTTTAAATATAGGACCTGAACCAATAAATACACCACTCCATCAAACTTGGATACATCGCCTCACAGCGTTGATACAAACAACACTAGATGGCGCAGCACAAAAATGGTTTTCAGTACTACCTATAGACATAAAATCAGATTGGAAAAGATTCACACAGGAATTCTCAAAAATGTTTGATTCTGAAAGAAACAAACAACATCAAAGAGTTTCATGTAATGAAATTCGAAGATTACCAAATGAAACAATAAAACAACTAGCAGTCAGAATCGAAACACTAGTTCGAAAAGCTTATTCACTTAATACACACGATTATAAAAACACAAAAATGACAGAAATCTTGATGATGACCTTAACACAACAATTAAGAAAAATTGCAATAAAGAAAAGAGCATCTCATCCTTCCTCAATTCGAGAACCGGATCTAGATTTCAGAAAACTAGTCGATAAATTAGAGCAAGCAGAGATAACAATGAAACTCGAAGAAACCGAAAACTTGAAATTATAATATGTTAATCACATTGAAACAAAAACTACACACATTAACAATATACAAAAATCAGATGTAGACCTATCTGAAAAAATCACCGAATTTTTAAACAACTATGAAAAGAACCCAAACTGGAAAGGCAAACCATCTTCTAAGAAATGGTGTAATTATTGTCGACGATACGGACACAGTATCTCTGAATGTAGACAAAAACAGCAAGACAACCAAAATAAACCTCAAAAACACAAAGAACCAAACAAATCATTTTATCAATATATGAAAAAAGATCAAAACCTACCAAACAAAAATGTTTACAGTAACAATAGTTCTGAAAACCCACTTCCAAGCAATCAAAACTATTCTCGAAATCAATCACCGTATAACTCAAGTTATAGAGGCAGATCACCCGAACGAAGTAATTCACGAAA